AAATTTTTTATATTTAAAATGAGATGTTTATCCTGTATTTGATTGTGTTTATCTGCAGTTAGTTACATGAATTCAGTTATGGGATGAAATCGGATAGGGATGAAATTGTTTAGGGATGAACGAGTTTAAGAGTTTTAAGAGTTTAAGAGTTTTTAAAAGTTTTAGCCAAATGCTTTATAATATAGTATAGATAAGGATGGAAATTATAATTTTAAAACTATAAGAATTAAACTAAGAAAGTTTCAACAAATTAGAGGGATTAAAGACTAAGGGGGTTGTTTACCAAACACTTACCCGGTAAACATTTACTGGTAAATTTAACACTATGATTTACTTACCGGGTAAGATTTTAGTCCATCTGTACGCAACAATTTACCTGGTAAGCGCTTACCGTGGTAAGAGTCGTTGCCCTCACTTATCCGGTAAGACTCTTGGTATTTGTCTCGCTCTGACCGGGTATAATTTTTTATCTTTACCATATTCATCCGGTAAGGTAATGAGACTTGGTGTTCACTTACCCGAGTAAACGTTTGGTAAACAGCCCTTTGATTTACTTTAAGAATTATAAAAACGTAATTTACTCTAAGAATTATAAAAATGTATATACAATGTCACGATCTTTTCAGGTCTATTTACAACGTAACAATTGAAATTTTTTAAAGTTGTCTGAAGAATACTCGGAGGGTCGTTTAGAAATCATAGAAAACAAAATCACAATTTATTCTAAAAATTAATTTTATCGTTAAAATTTATCTGCAAAAATCATAAAACCATTCACGTTAAAAAAATCTATCATTATGGTCATGTTTTAAAAATAATCTTAGAGGTCAATTACCAAATATTTACTGTAGAGGTCTTTACCAGCAAGAGTCACTAATATTACTTACCTTATCAGGTAATATTAGTGGAATGTAAATTGGATTTTTGGTAAGCATCTCTCGCACAATAAAAACTAGCCAAGTACAAGTCTTCATCCTCACTTATCAGGTAAGATTTTTTGTCCTTGTCATATTTACCAGGTAAAATAAATGACACCCAGAAAGCACTTCATCTCAGAATGATACATGATACATGCATATAACATGTATCACTTAAAGCCACAATGATACCTATGAATCTTAGAGGTTGTTTGGTTGGTTTTCTATTAAGTCATGTATGGATAAAGTTGTTTGTGTTATTAATCTGTCTGTATATATTGTGAAAGTTTTTGTTTGGGAGGATTTATTTATAAATGGAAAGAGTGTATTTTTTAATTAGGAGTGATAGGTTGGGAAAAACATTGACTTTCTGCATAAAGATCCTCAAGAAACTTTCTGAATAAGCCATTTTTTATATCATTAAGTCACTATCAAATAATCATGTATAACTGGCTGAATAAATTACGAGTATCATTAAACATATTAATATAAAAATTAAAATCATGACTTACATTCAGAAAAACAATAGTTTGACCAATTATGTTTGAATTAGCCACAAACTTATGGGACGTTTACCAAACACTTATCCGGTAAACACTTACCGGTAAAATTAACACTATCATTTACTTACCGATTAAGATTTTAGTCTACCAAAACGACAATGTATGCATCAATTTACCCAGTAAGCGCTTACCGTGGTAAGAGTCGTCGCTCTCACTTACAGGGCAAGACTCTTGGTCCTTGTCTTGCTCTTACTCGGTAAGATTTTTGGTTCTCATCGCATTCGTTCGATAAAGGAATGTGTTTTCTTAAGCATTTATCCAGATAAATGTTTGGTAAACGACCCCTTATATTTTAAAGAGCGGATCTTATTGACTTGTTAAATTGTGTGACACGAAATAAATAATTAATGTGGTATGAAAAACAAAATAATAATAAGTAATTATAGTTACAAAATGTAATATAAACAATAAGAAATCAAATTTATTTTTAACAATTTATAATTATGGTATTTATAAACTGATTACTGTCTAAATTTGTTTAAATTATCTGTTTTACCGATTAGAAAATTATA